CCAAAGTTACAAAATAAACCCTGCTGCATACATTGGAGGCTCTTAACGAGTCCTGCAGAGGCTGGGGTACAGTGCGTGTTCCTGCTACAGCCATATCTTCAAGGGGAAAGCAACATCCCCATCTCTCCTACATCACAGGGAGGTTTTGAGGATTCTCCGAAGACATGTGAACTGTCAAGGGCAGCATGAGCACCCAGTGCTCTGGAGCCCGCTGACTACAGGCTTGGAATATTTTTCCTATTCTTCCCTGTTCTTAGGGCCACTCCCAATGGAGGCTGGATCTATGGAGAATCCTTTCGGTGCTTCTGATATCTAGTTGGTCCCTGTGGGTCTGGGAAGTGTCTCCTGGCATGGTGGGGTGTCACCTCTCCAACCTGTCACACAGGAGGAGTGGCACCTCATCAGCCAGTTCTCTCAGTCAGGAACATCCCAGCTTGGCAAGATCATGTGCTTCAAATACACTAGTTGTTGCAACATTTGTCAGCCCTGCCCCACTGGCCAGGTGCCCTGGAAGACCCCAACGCTTGGCTCTACCATCTGAGTCTGAAATGAGGCTGTGGTTCATCAGGCAGATCAGAATTTTCCTGTAGATGAGGAGGGAAGAAATGGGGGACAATGATTAAGACTGAGCATTCTGTATCCTAATTATAGGTCCAAATCTTGAGACATACATCTCAACCACCTTTTTCCTCATATGGTAGGCTCAATAATGGCCTCCCAAAGAGGCTCACATGCTACTCCCTGGAACTTCTCAATATGTTATCTTACATGGCAAAAGGAATTTTGCAGATGTTACTAAGTCAAGGTTCATGAGATAGGAGATTATCCTGGATTATCTGAGAAGGCCCAATGTAATCAAAGGATGCCTTATAAGAAGGAGGCAGAAGGGCCAGAGAAGACAATGGAAGGAGAGGTAGAAAATGTCAACTTAAATAGCAAATAGAGAGAGGATTCTCTAAAAGAAAATAATATTTACTCAGGAATAGGGCATTGCAATGGAAATATATTTGCCATAGTAAACTGTATATGTATTCAGGGAGGTAAAGGAGACTAATATTTTTAAAGGGAAAAGGAAAAATCTTACATAATTGTTTTGAGATCATTATCCTTAGATATAAAGATCAATAACATGGGCGACGCCAGTCTGAGGCTGCATAGGCAGTTGCTGAGCAGATGTCCTTGCAGTATTTTTTATATAAGGTTCAGATGGCCTTTGTGTAGGTTATAGTTTTTGAAGTCTCTTGCGATAGTTTTCATTATCAGGTATTTATGCCTGAGAATCTTTTCTTCGTATCTTTTCCCAGCTCTATTTGTCAGACTTTTTTTTTTTTTTTAACACAAGTGACTTCATTTTTATTTTGATGACTTTCACATATCTACCTTTTGATCAAGATCTTTCTTCAAAAGCATCACTGACCAGTCATCCTGTAGTTAGGGTTTGATGCCCCTCAGTGCAGGGATGGATCTGTCCCAGTTTCTGATCTGGTCCCATGTTGGATGTAGTGAGTGGTGACTAGGACTCAGTATCAAAACCCTTCAGACCACATTTGAGCAACCAGCGAGGTTTAAAGGAAGTTACTCTCAGACTAAATCTACCTAAAGTCTATTATTAAATTCAATTTTGTCTGTTTTGTAGGTGTTTGCTATCATCTCAAAGTGCGGGGCCAGCATTATTATGTTAGCAGTTGTGCTTGTGCAAAAATTTAACGAGGAACAGATACAAAGTTTAAGAGGGGAAAATACAAAGTAAAATTAATAGTAATGACAGCCCCTGTTTGCATAGTGGTTTTGAGCCATAAACTTAGGTTTAAGGCAACCAACTCAATAAAGCAAATGATGATTATCCTGTCAAGTGAAAAAGGTAGACATTTAAAGGAGTAAAAGTTGCATTGTGATATGGAGTCTTGTCTTGACATCTTGGCAAAAGGTGTCTACAGCATGAAAATGTCAGCTTCTGATTCTGGTTTGTAGTTTGAATGTCTCTGGTTATGACATCAAGCACTTTGGTGAACATTCTGCGTGGCCCATGTGTCAGGCATGAGACTTGTTCTTTTAAATCTTATCTAGTTTCTGCTTAGGGCTTTAGGAATACACCAGTTCCCATTTTTAGTAATTCCATGAAAAATATTTGGATTGGAGGAATCTAGAAGAATTGAGGATCCAGTCTAATCTATAAGTAGATAAAAAGAATTTGACAATAATGTGCAGAGCTACAATCTAATAATAGGTGTATTGTAGCTTTTCTTTATAAATATAGCTTTAACTTTCCACACTGATCATGTATGAATCTCATATTTTAAAACCTCGAGGCTAAAAAGTCAACCAAGGCAGACTTCAAATTTTCCCAAAGTCTTCAGGTTTTTGGATCTGCCAGGAAGTGACAATGTTTTTTCACTCACTATAAGACTAGGACCCCATGAAGAATGTGTATTCTACACACATTCTCAAATGTAATATTCCAGTCAAAGCCTTAAAATAATAAAACAAATGTTTCCAATTGTATATTATTACAAAAAAAGAGAGATTTTTATTAGACTTATGGGAAAAACATATTGCTATAAGAATACTCGTCAATAGTTTCCAAATTTTGAAGAACTCAAGTAGATAGAAAAAGCAAATGCTTCCATTTTTGTTCACAAAATTATACTTTACCAAGTTGTTGTAAATTATAGTTTCAGAGAGAAAATTTTCATAAAAGTGGAAAATAAAACATTTAAGTAAATAACCAACAATGTTTTAAATGAAAGTCATACAAACATTGTATTTATTGGTTGCTTAATCTCACATAATTCACTTTTGTTCTGCTTGATCTTGATTAGTCATTTCATGAACCCATAAGTTTCTTCATTAGAGTTTTGAAAACATCTTATTTAGTTCATTAATCTTAAAGTTATTAAAAAACTACATTTAAGAGTACTTGTTAGAGTCTTTTCCATGAAAAGCAATTTTGGATAATAGCTGATTGCAAATACTTTTCAAGAAAAATCAAAACAATAACTATGGATGACAAAAGCTTAGGATGCCCATGATTAAAGTCTGATGAAAGCTCATTACAATCAGCAATTGACAAAGAAATGTAGTTACTTTTGTGGCATATGACACAATGCTCAGAATTATAACTAATGATATATTTCTAAGAGTTTTACACAATTTTGGAATATTCATATCAAGAACACACTGATAAATGTAACTGAAAGAAGATTTAGAGTCACTTATCATGTGACAAGTTTCCCATACAATTTATCAAATAATCCTAAAAATTCAATACCTCTAAAAGATAAGAGAAGCATTCTTTGACGCACTTTAGGAGGCCAACTGGCAAATCCCAAAGTTAATTCTAGGTCAACAAATCTTAATTTAGAATTATGATCTTGGGGAAGCCTACCAAAGGTTTCAAAAGATTCAGAACACTTGATAAAAGTAGGATCACAGGCCACTGTGAAACAATAATCATTCATTAAACCAGAGTGTTAACCTAAAAACTTTAGAAGCAATACAGGAAGTTGCATAGACTTTAAAAACCTTAACACTTTCAAACCTCAGTTTTATGTTGATAAAACATAAATTCCTTTTATCTTGGGGACAAGTTATTTAAAAGAGTTTAAAAAGACTTCTTCCAGTGTGATTGCTTTTCCTTATGGAAAGCCCATTTAAATATCCTGAACGTTGAATCTGATGTTTTTTTAAGTATTTGAATTTAATCAGACACATGAAGAATGTGTGCCCAAGTTTGTAAGTGTGCACAGTACTATAAAGGAATGTAAACAAGAAAACTACTAGCTCAAGCAGGGGAATACATGGCTCTTAGCAAAGGTAAGAGCATGTGAATTTCCTGGTTACTTGGAAAAATTCATACATATTAAAAAAAAAACCAAGAGTACAGAATCAAGTTATACTAGAGGAAAACACTGCTTTTCTAGGTCTTTCAAGACACAGCATTTCAGGGTCAAGTCATAACAGCAGAGTTGGAACCAGAGGAAAAAGTTACAGTAGCTGATTAAAAAGTTGGAGAGAGTTATCACCCTAAACCTTCTTAAGGGAGAAAGAGCTGATGGTAATGATTCATGACCTACAAATCATGGGCTACGAGAGACAGAGCAAAAGTTGAACTTCTGAGATATGAATCTCAGTAGACTTAAAAGAAAAACTTTACTTCAAGAAATGAAATTACTATTTTGAAAGAAAAGACAACATTTCTAACCTAAAATTAGAGAAAGTATACAGAAACTGTAAAATAGAAGAAAGCCACAATTTGGAAGTTAAGTGTTAAAGGAATAGATTTCAGAATTAAAAATGTAAAACCTCTTGCAATTTTTGTTAAAAGTAGACAAATATTTCAGGAAAACCTTGTTGTTCTAATACAGGGAGTAAAATTTTTAGTTTTGTATTGGCATATTTTTAATATCAAAGTTCAATCTTTAGAAAGGCTCATAAATAATTTCCTTCTAATTATTGACAACCTGATTATTGCCAACCTGATTATACACTAAATTCCTTTTGTAAATTCATCCTTCGTGAACCTTATTATAACTTACTCAGACAATTGATTACATGATTAAACGTTCCACTTTGTCTTATACTTCCACTTTTTAAAATAACCAGTCATTTTACTTTAGGAAAATAATTTACCACACAATATTCTTTCTTATACAAAATTATTCTCTTTTCTTTTTGACCCTCCTGACCAAAAACACATATGCAGGGGCCTTTGAAAACAGTATGCTGAGAATAGATAGGGCTCAAGGACAGTATCTCCAATTGAACTTTCAATGAACTCCCGTAGGCGCCAAGAAGGCGGGCAGATAAGAAAAAACATAGAAACAAGGAACTGAGTAAAAGGTTACATCTGGGAAAAGAAAGTTTGTTTTGCATTGCATTCTTTCTACTGACGTGGGGTTTATGGGGTATAAATAAAGTGAGGCAGAGGCTCTGAGCACGGCCGCCATGTTCTCTGTGTGTCTTTGTCTTTTGTGTGTTCTTTCATTCTCCACCACCCCCGGCACGGACCCCAACAAGTGGCGCAGCGAGCAGGGTCGCACGGGTGAGTAGGGGAGAACAAGAAGGGGAACCCCCTAGGGGCGGGTAAGGCCGGGATATTGTTAAGGGGAACCTTCTTAAGCTTTCATTATGGGAATTCCATCTCTCTGGCCTCAGAATATTTACGCCCTGTTTCAAGGACTGTTGCTGTCTATAGGAGTAGAAGTGAAAGAAAAAGACTTTGAAGCGATTGTTTGCCCATGTTGAACAACATTGTTACTGGTTTCAGTATCAGACTAAAGTGCAGCTGAATCGGAAAAAATGGTTACAGGTAGTAAAAGCTCTGCTTAGAGCGCTCCAGTTAGGGGATATTATGCCTCTAAAATTGTAGACCTTGTGTAACTCTATCACTCAGACATTAGAGTTACTTGAGACTGATTCGGAGTGTGGTAACGTAGCCACAGGAGGAAAGGTATCTGAGGATTTGGAAAAATAAAATAAAATAAAATAAATCTGAAATGGAGCCCATTTGTGCCAGGATAGCAAAAGGGGGAGAAGAGAAAAAGCCAGCTCTTCCTTCTTCTAAGGGAAATTCTGACATGCAGTGTATTATGGAAATGCTTCAACAAATATTACAGATACATTCTTCTAATTCACCTTTGCGAGCTTTCCCTGTTTCTTTTCCTTCTGCCCTGTTAAAAAAGGATTTTCCAGAGCCTCCAACCCCCCGGCTTCCTTATCTTTACCTTTGTTTGGCAAAGTTGAAGCCCTGTTCACATCAGACATACTTTAAATTTATACTAAACACCTGTTTAATATGTCAAAACCAGTGTATATGTATATCTTATTGTTTGTTAAAATATTATGAGTATTTCAATACTCAATAAATAAGCACATTAATATTAACTATTAATATTAATATAGTATTAATAACCCCAGCTAGGAAATTGTTATGTTATAGGGGTGCATAGGTTCCACCAATTTACACTCCAAACAGAAGTTGAGTATTCGAGTTGCTTAACACATTAACTACCTCTTGATATTTTCTGTGTTTTTAAATTTTAACCATTGTATTGTATATGTAATGATTCTCAATTTGGTATTAATATACATATTTCCTAGTGAATAATGATGTTAGACATATAGGTTTATTGTCATTTCTTTGTTCTGCTACTTTTGGTTGAATTATTTGCCTTTTCCTATTAATATGTTGGGATTCTTTATATTTGAGAATATGAGTATTATTATATATTATATATACTTTTAATTAAAAAAAAATTTTAAGGAGCTGGATCTGTTTCTAATTATTTGTGCTTCCTTTGCTCCTAATGCTCAGTTTTCAAATGGTGACAATAATGTCCAATTTAATGCCTTACAAATTAAATTTTTAAAAGAAATGAAAGCTGCCATTTCTAACTATGAACCCCTATCCTTGGTCTTCTTGATATTTTTTCATCAGAAAATTTGATGATTCCTATAGACTGGAAGACTTTGGGGAAGGCTTTTCTTGATCGTTCTCAGTGGTTATAATTGCACAACTGGTAAATGAACAAGGTGCATGTACAGGCTAGAAAAAATGTTATGTGTGATCCCCCAAGAGCCGCTGAGGAACAACTCACAGGCACAGGCCAATATGCTACTCTTAATGCTCAGGCTGGTCTAGATGATGTTGCCCTTACTCAAATCAAGACTTTGTTTTTAAGGGCCTAATATAAGGTAGAGATAACAGGAAAATCTTCCCTTTCCTCTGTGAAGATTTTACAGGGCACAAATGAACAATATCCAGATTTCGTAGCCCGTCTTCAGGATGCTGTCTTGAAAATTGTGGGTGCTGACCTTACTTCAAAAATTTTGTTACAAACGTTGTCTTTTAAAAATGCTTATGCTGACTGTCAAAAATTGTTAAAATCGTTAAAGGCCAATGGGGCCAATTTAGATAAATATATTAAAACTTGTGTTAGTGTTGGAGGGGCTATTTATAATGCTCAATTATTTGCTGGAGCTTTGTCTAAAGCCTTAAAAGGAAATAACAAACAAGGTATTTGCTTTCAGTGTGGTAAACCTAGACATTTCAAAAAAGAATGTCATAAAAATTGAACACTTTTATCCCTTGAGGCAGAAAGCTGCCTTCAGAGGTGTACAAATGTTGTGATAAAGGTCGACATTGGACAAATAAATGTCGTTCCAAAACTGATAGAAGTAGAAATTTACTGTCTCCTCTCCTGGGAAACGGGAGTCGGGGCCCACAGGTTTGAGGCCCCAACAATTACAATACAAGTCTACTACAATATTCAGTGAGCAATGGCCTACAACATCAAGAAATAAATTCAAGTCCTCCTTAAGGATCCCACACCTTACCCCAGTTTCTCAGCTTTATGCGGCAACTAAGCAGAGCGCCGCTGCTGACTTAGCTATTACTCAGCCTTATACTTTGTCTCCTAATAGAAGAGTATATAAATTAGCTATTAGAGTGTGTGGCCCTTTGCCAAAAGGACATAATGTTACTAATAAAATTCTTATTATGGTTCAAGTCTCACAATTTATATGCCTAGAGGCAAGAAAACATATTCTCAATAGAGAGGGTTTGGTAGCACAGAAAAAACTGTTTTTTAAGAAACTTTAGTTTCTAATCAAAAGCCCTTATGTTCATTGCACATTAGTGAAATCGTTTTTAAGGGATTAATTGATACGAGGGTAAATATGTCTATTATTTGTTTAAATTAGTGGCCTATACAATAGAAAAAAACACAAGTTTCGGTTATACTCACTGGCTTGGGTGCTACTTCTGTGATTTATCAAGACGTAAAACCTTTAACCTGTGTCGGTCCTAAAGGTCAACAAGGTCAAGTGTTTTTTTTTTATTTTTATATTGTTCCTATCAATATTAATTTTTGGGAACAAGATCTTTCACAACAATTTGCTGCTTTTTTAAACATTCCTCATATTTCCTCAGCTGCCAAAAATATGATGTTCAAAATGGGCTACAATCCTTTAAACTCATAGCCACCACTCCTATTTAGGTAAAACAGTGACCATTATTTAAAAAAATACTTAGGACTCTAAAAGAATAAGTCAAAAAACAAATGGCCGAGAAAAATCTAAAGCCACGTATTTCTGCATGGAATTCCCATCTTTGTCTTGTCTTAAAACTATAAATGTTTACATTAAACCTAGGGAAAGTTTACAGCCTGGTCTTCCTAATCCTGCCCTTATCCCACAAAGTTAAAAATTAATGGTCATAAATCTCAAAAATTGTTTTTTCTCTATTCAGTTACAACCTCAAGATTGTAAAAAGTTTGCCTTTATTATTCCTAAATATAATAATGGACAACCCATTCAAAAATATCAGCAGAAGCTTCTTCCTCAAGATATACTTAATAGCCCTACTATATGTCAAAAATTCGTACATAGGACTTTAAATCCTGTAAAAAATCAGTTTCCAACTGTGTTAATTTATCATTATATAGATCTTCTCTGTCCCTGTTTTTAATAATTTTCAGCCACTTTCTCGATATCAATGGAAAGTTTTACCTCAAGGTATATTAAACAGCCCTACCTTGTCTCAAGAACTTGTCCTTTTGCATCATTACAAACTCAGCTTTCTTTCTATTCACTTAATATTGCCCCCAAAAAAATTCAACTAGATTTTCCTATTCAATATTTAGGTTATACCTTAAGAGCACAAAATATTCAACCCCAAAAAATTCAAAGTCAACGTGATCATTTCAAAATATTAAATGACTTTCAAACGATGCGTCCTGTTTTAAAAATATAACATCTTTTTTCTATTCTAAAAGGAAACAGTCACTTGGACAACTCACGCCATTTAACTCCTTTGGCTTTACAAGAACTCCAGCTTATAGAAGAACAACTTTAAAAGGCCCCTTCCTGATGTTCCCCTTTCCTTTTGTTTATTTCGTACTTTACATTCTCCTACAGGAATAATTCATCAGACCAATCGGCCGCTAGAATGAATCTTTTTGTCCAATAAAACATCTAAATGCTTGGCTACTTATATCAATCATTTAGCTAAACTGATCATCAAAAAACGACATCACTGTCGACAACTTTGGGGAGGAGATCCTTCCTTAATTATCTCTCAATTCACTCATAGTCAGATCACTTATCTTCTTACAACTTCTGATTCTTGGCAAGAAGCTTCATCAATCTTGAGTTACAGTTTATCCTTATCCCTCGGTGCAATAGAAAAAATTGTTTGCTATTCTCATGGTCTTACTTAATTTCCCTACTACTGGTTATAACATTGTTAGTGATTCTCAATACGCTGTTTATATTACTTCTTATATTTCTCAGGCCACTTTACCTCTTTGTGCTACTTCTTCTCTTCAGAAATTCTTTTCTTTGTTATCCTTTACTTTGAGCCAACGTCGAGCTCCTTTATTCATCACTCATCTTCGTTCTCATTCTCAACTTTCTGGACCATTACTCATACCTGAGTATTCATGGTAATACTCAGATTGATTTGCTTTTAATCGGCCACCTACATGCTGCAGAACAAAAATATACTCTACATCACACTAATAGTTCTGGCCTTCAACGATGGTTTCATTTAACTCATAAACAAGCTCGTTCTCTTATTCGAGCTTGTCCTTCCTGTGCTCCTTTAAACATTCCATCCTTCCATCCTGGGGTTGATCCATGAGATGTCCCTTCTTTTAGATGATTAAAATATGTTCATCATACCATTGATACCTTTTCTCATTTTCAATGGGCCACTCCGTTGCCATCTAAAAAAGCTAATTCTGTTATTACACATCTCTTGGTTTGTTTCGCCATCATGGGCATTCCTCTTATACTTAAAACTGATAATGCCCCTACTTATGTCTCTCATAAATTACAAGTTTTCTTACAGCAATACAATATTCAACATATCACCAATATCCCGGGCAACAGTCAAGGTCAAGCCATCATTAAGCGCACAAATTTAACCTTAAAAACTCAACTACTAAAACAAAAAAAAAAGGGGGAAATGAGCCCCCCAAAAAAACAGATTTTTTTGAAGGTTAACCTTTCTACCTTAATTTTTTTGATTTTGAAGGTTCTTTTTACCTTAATTATTTTTTGAATCAATGGAGACAATTGCAAGACTCCGCTGTTGTAACCCATCTTTCTTCACCTCCCTCGGTGATAGTCCCCGCTGACAATTTAAAAATTTGGTATCCTAATGAAAAAGGTAAGTATGTTCAAGGGCAAGTTCTAAAACAGGGACGGGGCTATGCTCTTGTCCTTACAGGGAGCGGACCTGAGTGGTTTCCTACAAAATGATTAAAACCCTGTTGAAAAGAAAACTGGATTCAGCATGCATTTCTTCCTTTGTTAGATGTGCCTCGGCTGGGGACTTATTTCTCTTAGTGAGGCTTTGTATAAATATTAGACTTATATTCCTTTTCCGCCCTTATATCAAAGAGTCACCTGGGAGGAGGTGGAAATTAATGTTTTCACCAATGACATTACTTGGATGCCGTCCCCCTATATAGACAAGGACAACATAGAATGGGAAACAGAAATTATAATCAGCACATACCAATTTGGAGTAGAAGGACTTCCAATATGTATGGGAAATAGTTCTCATTGTCTCCAAAAATCACATGAAGCCTGGGTTGTTCGCTATAATCATAGTCATGTGGCTGCTAATACTGTTATTATAATCATACTGTATATAGTAATGAAACTATTCCTAGTTCTTTACTTTTTTGTCCTATTCTAGAGGTTTCTCCTAATATTGAGGTGCTGAAGTGACAACAATGTCGGAAAACTAAACCCCAGATTTTATTAAAATACAATGGAATGCAAATAACTGATTGAAGTGTACACAGTGATTTTCAAACAAAATTTAGTCACATACCTTTGAAATGGCACTGGGTAAATAAAAGTATTGCTGCTAACAATAATGAAACCTTGATATGGCGAGAAGGAGGCCTAAGTACAGAGTCATCTTTGGAAGTTGTTAGCTGCAGACAATGCCATTAGCATTTTTGTGGGGAATATGCCCCTTAATCTTTCTAACCCGAATAACTCCTTTCATATTCAGTTATATCGGAATACCTCCCGATATATTATTGCTTGTGTCCGTAAGCCCTACCTATTATTAGCGGGGAATTTGACATGTGATAATAATACGGGAATTGTTAATTGTACAGATACGTATACATTTTTGTCTTGCCTCAATCATTCTTGGTGGCACAACTTTATTAGGGATATTTATATCCTCAGGACTCGTAAGGAAATTTGGCTACCTGTTAACCTTATGCGACCATGGGGGGCATCACCTCTTGAAACTTATACTTGGACTTCTCTCCAGCGAACCCGCCGTGCCTTTGGACTTATTATTGCCTCGGTGATGAGCCTTGTCACCATCGTCTCCACTGCGGCCATAACAGGGCTCGCTCTTCATCAAAGCATACAAAATGCTAAATTTGTGCAGCAATGGCACGAACAATCTCACCGGTTATGGCTTCAACAATGAAACATTGATTCTCAACTTGCTGAAAAATTAGACAACATGAAACAAGCCTTGACATGGCTTAGAGATCAGCTCACTGTCCTCAATACTCGAATAACATTACAATGTGATTGGAACTCCACTCAATTTTGTGTAACGCCTGTGCTTTTTAACATCTCTCAAAATTGGACCATAATCCAAAAATTATTAACAGGCCATAAAAATATTAGTTTGGACATCCAAGAGCTCACTCAGAACATTTCCGAAGCATTTCGACAACAATTACATGTGTTGTCTGAAACCATAACCCTGCAAAAGCTAGGTCAGCGCCTTGCTGCCTTTAACCCATGAACCCAGATAAAAACATAGATTTCTACAATCTCTAGAAGTATATTGCTTTGGGCACTTGGATTGGGTCTACTTCTTTTGGTGATTCGATGCTCCCTCCGTTGCCTCCAAAAACAAAAGAAAACACAAAAACAAATATGGGCTACCTTTTTAGGATTGAGGCAAAACAAAAACAAAAAGGGGGAAATGCAGGGGCCTTTGAAAACAGTATGCTGAGAATAGATAGGGCTCAAGGACAGTATCTCCAATTGAACTTTTGACGAACTCCCATAGGCGCCAAGAAGGCGGGCAGATAAGAAAAAACATAGAAACAAGGAACTGAGTAAAAGGTTACATCTGGGAAAAGAAAGTTTGTTTTGCATTGCATTCTTTCTACTGACGTGGGGTTTATGGGGTATAAATAAAGTGAGGCAGAGGCTCTGAGCACGGCCGCCATGTTCTCTGTGTGTCTTTGTCTTTTGTGTGTTCTTTCATTCTCCACCACCCCCAGCACGGACCCCAACACACATATGCATAACTTTTTCACGTCTCCCTCCTACTTACTGGTTCCTTTCTATTCTTGTTTCTATTTAATACCTAAAATTCATATTTTGAAACAAACTAAATAACCTTTGAATTAGACACAATTATTATTTTTTCAAAATAAAGAACACATTTTAATGCATTTTTATAATTTTAAAATTAAAAACATCTTTTGGTACATTTTGTATACAGAAGGAATTAGAAATGTAACTCGTAGTAACCTTAATTTTCAGTGAAAACCTACAAAGCTAAAGATTTTGAATTGTCTGTCACAATAACCACTTTATAATTCTTTTAAAAATGTTTTCCTGTAACATAATTGTAATGTACATTAATAATAGACCCAAATGTATTTACTTTTGTTATAAAATTTGTGAAGCCAAAACAAAGATACATTTATGCTCAGCATTTTATTTTAGTTCTTTTCTTATTTGGAAATGACACAGACAATTAATACTTATTCTTTAATTTAAAATAATATAACTTTAAGGTTTTTAATTACACAAAAAATTCATTTATAAACATCCCATTTACATAATTTATTTATTTTTAACAATTACACTTGGATTATTAAAACTGAGATATTAGACAAAGACAGTCATCATTTCAAGTTATTTCCCTGGGAACCATTTCTATATTCTATGAATAACTGGTGTTACCTAAGACTCTTAAAATTAAATACATGAATATCTTGCTGATAATTTAGAAGCTACAGCTGTTTTAATTAAACCAATAATATTACATTAGTGTGACTCTTCAAAGAATTTCACAAAGAAAGATTATTCTATTTTAGGCTGGGTTTGTAGTTTTACAATCTTTGGATCAAACCCTGACACCTTAAAGCCTTGGAAACACCTTAGAGACAAAGATAAAACTGTCTGACCAGTAAATCCAGGCAAAAGTGTAAGCTGATTTTTTTTTTTTTTTTTGAAACGGAGTCTTTCACTGTCACCCAGGCTTGAATGCAGTGCAACGATCTCAGTTCACTGCAATCTCTGCCTCTCAGGTTCAAGCGATTCTCCTGCCTCAGCTTCCCAAGTAGCTGGGATTACAGGCTCCTGCCACAGCATCTGGCTAATTTTTGTATTTTTAGTAGAGATGGGGTTTCACCATCCTGGCCAGGCTGGTCTCAAACTCCTGACCTTGTGATCCACCTGCCTCAGCCTCTCAATGTGCTGGAATTACAGGCATGAGCCACTGTGCCCAGTTGTATGCTGACAATTTTTAAGACATTTCTATTTTTATTTTACCAACAATTTTAAAATCAACTTAAAAAATTACTTAAATCAAGTGCACTAAAAGAAATCTTGGTTAATTAGTATATAGTTGGTATGAGCATTTATCTAAGCCAATCTGAATAGATCTTCTTAGATGGTTTCTGATGGATGACACTACATTTCCTCAACATGTTATCATACTTTAGCTCTAGAATCTGACTTCCTGGAGTCAAGTCTGAGCTCTACGTCTTATGAGGTGTGGGACCTTGGGCAGTTATACTGTCATTATAAGCCACTTATTCATCCTGGTGGGGAACAGGCTCTCTCTCACCTCTGCCCCGTGCATGTGCTATGGCTGCACCTAGAGCAGCACACCATCCCCTCCCTCATCTCACACTTACTTGTCCTTCAGGCCTCTGTTTGGACCCTATCTCTGCTAGGAACCCATCTGGATTCTCCAAAACAGGGCCCGTTGCCTTTTCTCTGTGCTCCAGCACTTGGGTTGTGTCCTCTCATAGCTCTCCCTGGCTGCAAAATATGTCAATTTAAAATGATTCAACAATTAAAAATGGTACCAGGACTTTTGTGGTATGAATGAAGCAAGGCGCTGACCTTTCAGGGCACCCCTTCTAGTCTGCTGTAATCACCTACTCCAAGGTCTGCTTTCCCTCTAAACTTTGTTCTTAGTGGCTGGAGGTAGAAGGCTCAGGGTCATCTGTCTCCCTGGGATACAGCACTGAGCCAAGTACAGAGCAGGAGCATCACTGTTGAATGAAGGGAGCTTGGTCTGAACCATTTCCTGGAACTCCTCACTCTATTGGCACATTCTAACTGTAAGCAATGTAGGAGATGATCTAAGAGAAACTGAGATGCACAAAGGCAAAGTGACTTGCTCAAGGCCAGGCAGCAAAGTATTGACCCAGCCCGAACTAGAACACAGGGTACCTAGATTAAATAGTGGTTTCCCAAAAGAGAACCTCAATAGCCAATCTTATTTGGAAGAGGGGTCTTTGCAGATATAATTAAAATGAATATTTCAAGGTGAGATTTTCCTGACTTAGAGGGGCTCCTAAATCAAATGATAAGTGTGCATAGAAGAGACAGAAAAGATGACACACATAGAGAAGATGGTGCTTTGAGGGTGGGGCAGAGACGGGAAGGATGCCTCTTGAAACCAAGGGACACCAAGGATTGCAGGCAGCCCCCAGACGGTGAGCAAAGCCTCAGAGCCACCAGAGGGAACCAACACTGCCCACACATCGATTTCAGATGTCAGCCTCCAGAACTGTGAGAGAAAGCATACCTATTGCTTGCAGCCCCCAGTTTGTGTGAATTCGTTACCGCAGCCCTAGGAAATGAAGGCGAGCCTCTCCCAGCTCCTGGGAGCGTCCATCCCTGCCACACCACACTCCAGCCT